CATCTTTGAGCTTCTCTGGATTAATTGCATTGAGAGTACGGAGGTCCATCACAGTTTTTATGTTTTCTTTTATCAAACGTTTAGAGCAATCACTACGATGGTTGATCCCATGTAATCGATACACTTCATCGGATGAGGATGGATTCTCATGCTTGTTGTACTCTGAAAAGTGAAAACAGAAGCTATGGAAATATAATATCAATTATCAAATCAAATGTATAAAATAAAACATATATATAGGTACTTACTGAAATTGCGCTTGTCTTTAAGGAGAAAGGATTCTGTTTTTGCTTCTTTTACCCAAGTGCCAAAAACAGCATCCTTTGACCTTGCACCCAGCCTACACTTTCTCTTTCCCTTCCAGGTTGAATTGTGTGTAAATGAAATCTTATTTACGTAAACAATACCTTCTTTTAGTTTTAGGGAAGTGTTTCCTTGAAGTACTTTCTTTCCATTCCATTCATGGATGATCTTATTGTTAAATTCACAAGAAGTCCAATTCTCTGTTTCAAAATCATCACAATCACCCTCAAGAGCTATTATTTCAATTTCTGTTGCAGACTCAGCCCCGGTCTTCACAATCTGCCCTGAGTTTTGATCAACCAAAGTTACTACAAAGGGTTTATTGTCTTTTCCTTCAATATTCTTGCCTGTAGAAACTGGTGTTGAGATTCCATTTGAGAATTGAAATTGGAAAACCGATGATCCTGAAGTACTTGCTGTATTACCAGAATTCCTGATAAAATTACAACTACTTGTAAGCCAAATTTGTAGTTATCAAAAAGATCTACCAATGTTTTATTCTTTACCATGTCATGCCCCTCAACAGATCCAAGCCAGATTTCTCTTTTATCACCGAAAGAAATTTTTGCTGCATTGTGTTGATCTGGTATACATGAAGCAAGAGTAAGTGTTATTCATGGTACTCACTCTGTATATGACAATCTTATCTACAACATTGATGGACAGGGGTTGAATGATAAAATAATTGCAAGATGAACTCAACAAATGAAAAACCTTGAATCAAAGAAACCGCCTTGTAGTGTGTTTGGCTTATTTGAAGCCCTAGACCTAGCCCAAACTACTTCACAAAGAAAATTTCCATTTACAGTTTTACACGGATGATATATATATATATATATATATATATATATATATATATATATATATATATACACCCAAATTCTGTAAGCTGTTGAACTAACATATTTAGTAAAAAACTATATAAGCTAATGAAGCTGGGTAGATAATAATTGATACTGTGAAAACAGTAAGGTCATTTGCACAACTAGGATGAGAAACACAACCGTATTTTGTAACATTTTATTGAACTTTGTAGTGTACAATGCATTATAGGAAAAAAAAATGATAAAGTTATATGGATTGTAGAAAGATGATGTGACAATCCATTGAATTCTATGGAGTTCAATGCATTGTAGAAGCCTTAAATATGTTTGTGTGTGTGTGAGAGAGAGAGAGAGAGAGAGTTACATCTGCAGAAATTATAGGCCATAAAGTTCCCTTACATAAGTTGACCACTTGCTCCATTTCCGCCCTGTGAAATAATTCAGGAACATATTATGCATTACTGATTCCAGTGTAATTCATAAGCATCGGAAAGAATATACAGATTTTAGCAGAAAGGTATAAGAATCTTATTACTTTGTTGAAGCCGTAACCCTTGCGAGTTCATCAACTAAACTTGTCCTTGCTCCTGCTCCTGCTCCATGGTTGTTATCATCTTCAGACTGTTGATTAACCACCGCCATTTTCAATTTAACTTCTCCAAACATAAAAGATGGTGTAACACACACAGAGAGAGAGAGAGAGAGAGAGAGAGAGAGAGAGAGATTCACATTGGCATGAATCGTAGGCCACATAATTTTAAGGTATAGGCGAATCAACCGCTCTATTTCCGCCCTGCGAAAACAGCGACGTGAATAGAACACTTGATGAACAGATCGTGCAGTCTCATGTAACTAATTTCAGTTTAGTTCATAAGCTAGAACATATAAAATTAGGAAAAAATATAAATTTTCGTACTCTTTTGAAGCATTAACCCTAGCGATATCATCAATTGAAGTTGTGCTCCCTCCTGATCCATGGTTGATATCATCTTCCAACTGCTGATTCACCACCGCCATTTTCAAATTGTTCAAGCTCAAAGTGTGTGTGTGTTATCGAAAGGTGTTTATGCGACTGATTTGCTCGTGCGATCGAACCCCGACTTTTATCGATAAAACGGAGCAAATGGCCCACCACACCGCGTTGATCTCAGGCGCCATCACTAAACAAGAAAAAAAGTGTTGTCACCAACGATGCACCACGGACCTTTTTTGGGTTCGTTATAAGCAGTTATATGCAGAATCTTAAAGTTGCTCTTTGCCACCAACGAAATGTCTTTTTTAGATAGCCCCTCGAGGGTTGGTTGGGATGGAAAGGTCAAAGGAACATTATTCTAATCCGGGTGGATCAATATTTTTAATTTATTCTTTTATCTTATGAATAATTCATGTTTATACATTACTAAAAACAATACTATTTAAATAATAAATTCACTTTTTCAATAACTCGTTTTGAACCAATAAGTTTGAGATTGACACGTCAATAATTATCTTTGAAACCAATCAAAACTCTAAACTAGTACACATCAAATGTGATAACATGCTTTACATGTATTATGATCAATTGAGTTAACTATATCATATACCATGATATTTAAAACAGAAACATGCCTTACCCAATCAAGAGTGGTTCGGACTAATGATACCGGATGAGATTTTAAGTTCAAATGTTTTTGGATGCCTGTATAGTTCTATATACTTTTAACAAAAAAAAAAAAAAAAAAAAAAAAAAAAAAAAAAAACCCCTTAATGGATGTTTCATAAAGAGTAAATGATTTGACTTTCATCATTTTATGAATTTCATTTAAGTGTTGAATTGACAATACAATGCCCTTTCTTTTGGCTTATATGGAGTAGGAATGAACGTTTGGACCAAAAAACCAAATCGGAACCGAAACCGAATAAGTAGCGATTGAGATATTCGGTTTGGTTCCCAGTTCTTAGTTTAAGTGTTTGTTCGCTTTTTGGTTTTTTCCTAGTCTGGTTCCGAACACCTTCTTAGATAACACATTTCTTAATAGAGTCGAACCAAATAAGGACCGATTAAACTATTCGGTTCAGTTCCTTGTTCTTAGTTTAAGGCTTATTCGGTTCCGGTTTGGGTCGGTTTCGGACCAAATAACATCCCTAGATAGACTTTTCTATTTTCTGACCAAAGAGATCGATGAGGGATGGAATTGGATCCCAGAGGGTAATTTTCAGCGTCTTTCGCTAGATCTTATTTAGAAAGTGGCACTCTCGATAAACTTTTTTTCCTTCAAGATGGAACTCTATTGTTCCTCTAAAGTTGAATGCATTAACTTGAAGATTGTGGTTAATTTGGGTATCTACACAAATAAAATTGGTTGATAAATAGATTGATGTTGATATTGTGTTATGCCCTATTTTGTGTCTCTCATAATGACACTATTGACGATCTCTTCATAGTTTGTCCAGTTGTGAGACAAATTTGGAGTCAAATAGGAAGGTGGTGGGAATTTAATGCCACTTATCATACCATGATTGTAGATTGACCAATTGGTTAGCATAAAACAACCTTGAATGCAGCTCAAAGAAAATCGTTTGATATAGTCAGTATCATAAATCTTTGGAATTTCTGAAACAACATTGTGTTGGAGCGGTTAAACCAAGGAAACGAAGATTTTCGATAAGAATGTTTCCTAATCTTCTTTTTGGATTTTTATTAGCAAGCAAAAAGTATAGAATGAATTGAACCTGTGGCTTCACAACCCTAATTTTGCTATTTCCTTTTTGTAACATGTCATTTGTTCTAACATCTTGCTAGTAGTTAAAAAAAACCCTTTGGTGTTCCAAGAAAACAATGGCCACGTTTGTTTATTGTCTGATTCTAAAGGATTTGGTTATGAGATTTTACTTTTAGATGCTTAAGGCTTGTTTGACAGCGAGTGTTTGAGAGCTTCTACCTTTTAGCTTTTAACAAAAAATTAGATTTAAACAATACATTTTGTTTGTGAGTACGAGCATTTAGTTTTGTTTAAAAAAATTTCAAATCTAAAAGTTACTTTATGCAGCGTTTAAAAAATATTGAGTTTTTTTTAGCAATTTCTAGAATTTCCTTTTATATATTTATATTTTTAAACAATTATTTTTTTATGTAATTTTACACATTTCAAAAGCTTCCAACTTTTTTTGGCAAACACTTATATAACTAATAAAAGCTATAACATCCAACTACTACCGACTATTAACTTCCAGGTACCGACTACCAGCTAATAGCTAGTTTTGCTAAATACGTCAATATGTTAAGGGTTTACAACTTATCTTAAATGTTTTCCCAAACAAGCTGTATTTCACAACTTTTCACCTAACGCATAACAACACGGACATTCACTTTCATGCTTCATTTTGAGGATTTAAAAATTGTTTGATATTCTTTGAACCTGCCAAAATCGCCCGCATGAACACCTTATCTTCTTTAGGAATGTATGGAAGAAAAAATTGAGAATTTCAACACTTGCCATATATAAGGTGTTCATGCGGGTGATTTTGGTCTTGGTCACTAACTTTTTAATAATATATTATACATATATAACAACATGATATGGTCTTAGTCACTGTTCGACCTTGCTGAGTTGAGAAACCCTAATTCTCGGCCTTTAGGCCATATTAAAGGCACTAACTCCTAGGTTTTGCATCATTTTTCTAAAAATAACTAACAACGAGAATTTTATTTTTAGTACTTATATTTGTTATACTTTTAACGAGACATCGTCCTATCGAACTCTTTCGGCTAACAACAATCCACCACACAAAGAAGCGGTGAGTGAAAAATACTTTCATTTAACGGTCATTTTATAGGTTGTTTATTTATACATATCTTATAACATGACTTTATGAATGAGGCATGGTCTTGATTCGACTAACGATAATTAATTAAACATATGATGATACATGTTGTAATAATTTCTTTACATATAGTAATGTATTACACACACATACACACACATATATATATATATATATATATATATATTTCATATTCTTTTATAAACTTTTATAATTATATGTGGGGTGAATTTAAAATAATTTAAAATTGGATGATTTAATTAAATAATCTTTAATTAAATTTTAACTAATTAATTTTTTAAATCATTATCAATATATCAAATCAATTATGCATATTTATTTTCCTATTTTAATTAATCAGATTTAAACAAATTAAAATAATAATTAAAACTAAAGATAGACCCTAAATTTGAAATTATTGCTAAAAATCTGAAACCTCAAAAACTCGGTAGGCCGCACCGCATCCTGTGACAACAATTTCTTTTATGATTTTTGTCAGTTTTATATCTTGTGCATATAGCAAAAAATTAAGGATTTGATACCACTGTTGGATTTTATTTGCAACTATACACTAGACTAAGGCAACGAAAACATTCAAAAATCATCATAAGTGTACATACACCCTAGGATGTAAGTTTTACTATTGTAGCAACGTACTTTTAAAACTATCCTAACAAGCTAAAAGAGAAGGGATTAAAACACTAACCTTTTGACAAATCGATTTATCCTTGAAGCTTGATTCCTTTGATCTCTTGTTGCTCTTGGAAATACTAGTACCCAAAGTAGCATACATCTAATGGTTCACACCTAAAAGTCAATAACCCTTGAAACTAAATGCGAGAGATATGAGAAAGGTAAAAATCAGATTTTGTAGCCTTCCAGGAGGTATGCATGGGACGGAAATATGAGCACCCAAGGCCCCTTTATATAGTTACGGTGGTAACAATTAAATATTGAGATTTAATCCAGATTTAAATTGTTTCCTTATTTGTTACTAGGATTAATTATAGAAGTCTACAAGGGGTCTTCTAAAATCGTCCATGCTATAAGCCTTCCCGAATGTTTCTGTTGTTCAACTATTGAACAATTAACATTCAGTCCTTGTACCTCTAGATTAATTACAATTAATCCAAAATTAGTTCTAAATTAATTCTAATTAATTTAACTAGTTTCTAATTAATTTATTAACATGTAATAAATTAATAAACCATTTTCTCCACCTCCTAAAACTATTTCTAGTTATTTTTGCTCTTTAGGGCAACCCCAAAATGACTTGTTCATTATTCCCAAAGTTACACCAATTAGTTATGATATTTGACACCTATTTCCAACAATGACAACTTAAATTTTAGTCTCAGAGCTCTTCATAATGATGTCCGTAACCTAGCTAAGTACATCAAGGCTAACACGGTGATCAAGGTGTATACTGAACATGGAAACAAAACTTTGTTAACATATTTTATGTCTCTAATGACAAGCCCATAGTTGTCATTGAGGAATTAAATGCATGATATGGAAAATAAACAATGGTAGTAATAAAACATATCATAGTACGATGCATAATGATTAAGAGAAAGAACAAGAAAAATCTTATGACAATGATTTTCTATTGGATGAAGAGAATAAAGTAGACACGGATGACTTCAAAATGAGCATTGATGATGGGGTTCATTGGAAGAGGTTTCTGATGATGATAGGAAACGAAGAGTGCCATTAGAGAAAATGGGGAAAGAAAAAGGTGTTCGTGTGGAGAGTTTCACAAAGTTACTCTTTATATTGGACACATCTAGAAGAAAAAGAAAGATATAAAAAACAAGGTTGACACACATGCTTTAGAAACTAGATAAACTTGAATTAAAAAAATGATGGTGTAAGGCTAAGAACTTACTGTAAAGGAGTGGTTCCTGGAGTCGATGCAAGTGATACATGTGTGGTAGGTGGAGAAAATGATAAAGAAAATAAAGTGAAAGGGTAAAGATGCAACTAATGGAAATCTTTATAGTTGGCATCTTTAAGCATCTAGGTTATATAACAATTAATGGAGATTGGTATGTGAATACATACAATCACAACCACACTTGTTTGCATTCAAGAAATATAAGATCTTGCACAACTACTTTCTTGTCAAGGCAGGTTACGAACAAAATTGAATCTAACCCACAAATCCCATAACGAGCTTTGCAAGATAACCTTTAGAAAAAAATGCAAAGTGG